TAATACACAAATGACAGCTGTAAAATGAAATAGACAACAAGTCTAACCTTCACAACTAAGAATCTGCATATACTCGTACGTACATACATATATGTTCAGTGTGTTCATATGTATGTAGGTACCTACTACCTAAAGAAGTGTAAGTGTTAGTGCAACTATAACAAAAGCAATTTAAAATCATTGTGCAGCTTTTCATTGGCTCACAAGGCTGCCACGAGGATCAACGACATTCGCATTGCTGCTCATTTACCTTGCAAACTGGCGGTTATCACGCACAAATGTCCTTTGTCTCCTCTGCGACTATAGAGGGCAACATCATACAGGGTACTTTAATTGGCTTACTTTGATTGATTGATCAATACGTTGAGTTCGACTTGAGGGACAATACATACTTATAGAGGTTATGCTGCTATTTTAGTTTATACTCGTCCGGACCAAACTGTAACAAATTTATTCTGCCAGCACCTGCATCTTTCTCAATGTGGCCCAGATGTTTTTAGGCTTTATTTCAGGTCAGTGATGGAGCGTAGTTGCTACTTTCTATTTCTTTGAAGCAATTTGGTCGCTGCCTCATTTTCCTTCTGCCTAATTAATTTTGGACGGGTCAAACACAGAACGTCAGCTATTTGTCGTCAGTGACAGCATAGAGCTTTTATAGGGCTATGCTTGGTGATGATGTCCAACATTTTACTCAGCTCCTGTTATCTTTTACAGAATCAGGTTAAAGAAGTCACATGAAAAGGAAACCTGGCTTGCTATCGACTGACTCGCGGAGGTTCTTGTCAATTCTGATGGAGGTCGTGGCATTTTACACCGCTGTTCAGACACCGCAACTTCTTTTCGGGCTGTCGAAAGCGGTTTTGAAATTGGTTAACAGGTGGTTTTCCTATAAGATCGACAGCGGGTTTTTCCAATATTTGGTAAGGCCATACTCAGTTCGTTAGCAGTGTGCCTATACCTTTCACACAATACGCTCGATAAGGCCTTATATGAGGGGCTGATTGGGCGGTGTTTGGCGTATATGGCGGCATCGGAAATTTTTTCTCTAGGTATCACACATAAATTTTGTTCCCGATTGGAGTCGGTTAACACATCCTCATAGGATAATCTGAAGTTTTCCCCCTGTCTTAACCGTCTCCAAACGTGACCAAAATTTGTTAGTAATAGAAACTGGCTAAATAAACAACTGCAGATTATTACTGAAACAGAGTTTTCCAATCGAAAAATATTGATTTTTAATAATTCTATACCATTTCTACGAAAACTTTGATTGCTTTGAGCGACCTGTAATTTATTGATTAAAAAAAAACAGGCGTATATTTTTTCGGTATAGAACAATCCGAGAGCAATGAGAGCATTACAATTGTGATTTTACAATTTTGTTTGGAACACCCTAATTTATCTAGGAATAGTACATCGTGCCGAATAAATATAAGAGATTTTGGGGTCTTCCGAGAAACCTATTCAACGCAAGAGCTAAAGTTAGGTTCCTTTGAGAAGACGAGTGCTGAAGAAGATGGATGAATGAATTGTAGTAGCTTTTTAATGACATGGACGTAAATAGCCAAACGCAACGTTGCCGCTGGCTTGGATATGTCCTTCGGCATCCTTGGGCGGAGAAGAAGAGAAAGGATGGTTTGCAAGGGAGAGATACAATTTTGGAAATTATTTTGGCTTTCGTAATCACAGAGTGGATACAAATATACATACATAAGGAACTGCAAGATATGAAATGTTATATATTGCTAGCTTAGAGTGAAAATTTCCAAGTCCACTTTTTATGAAAACCCATATTTGGATACAGGAGACTAGAGAAATAAAAAAAAAACTTTTCACTCTTGGCTAGCGATATGTATGTATGTACTATATATGGACGCCCTGTACTTATGCGGGCACTTACACATAAAAGCAGGCAAAAAGATATTTGTTTGTATTAATATTTGCCAACTGAAGGTATCTGAGCAATGCTCCAGTTCAGCTTAATTCGATTTTAACAATTGTCCTCTTCAGGAGTTAGGGTCTTCGGTGGCAAATGTATAGTAAAACAAAAAAACAAAAGCAACCAATGCGCAGTAAAAAGAAAAAAAATAAAAATGCTACTGCTAACGTAGCTGATATGTATTAAGCCAACAGCCAATCACAACGCCAGCTTTCACTGTTCCACCCGTGCGACATCAGCCCAACTGCTACACCAAAAAAAAAGCGACGCAATCAAAGTCAAATAATCATAAAACGCAAATAAAAACAAAGCAAGAAAAAACCAGTAACAAACAGATTGTACGAATGCAAGTAAGAAGATGGTAGACGTGAAAAAATTGTGGCAAGGATAATCTTATCAGCGGCGTCAGGACATAAAATTAAAACGTAACACCATGCAAACGTGTTACGCCAACACAAACGAACAAAAAATTCTAGCACTGTCATATCTCCATCGCCCTGAGTTCTGCCGGGCTACCTTATG